CTCCATATTTACTCAGGCACACGCCCACACTCACACACACTCTCACACACACCCACACACTCACACATACCCTCACACTCATGTACACTCACACATCCACACACACACTCATGCACACCCACACTCCATATTTACTCAGGCACACGCCCACACTCACACATCCACACACACACTCATGCACACACCCCCACACACACACACACTTTTATCACTTTCTTTCTCCTGCCTCTGCTCAAGACTGAATGGGAAGAGTCGAGGACAGTCACCTGGGAGTTCAGGCATAGTTTTGAGGACTGCTGCCAAGAACATGGGGCTCGGGATAAATTGCTCTTCTTGTGGGAAAGGGACAATACTTTGTGTTTCCTGAGATGGCATGCTGTGTACACCTGAGTCCTCCAGCATTCTGAGGACCTCTGAACTGTCATCACCTCTGCCACTCACTCTGAGTATTGGACGCTCCTTCTTATCTGCCACCAGTGACCCATCCTCATCCGGGGCCTGTGCTGGGGAAGAGCAAGGAGGGGAGAGAGGGCACTGCCCCCAGTGTCCACGATAGCCCTGCTGTGGCCCAATAGCCAATCAGAAAAGATCTTGTCCACTCAACACCCATGCAGCCATGCTGGACTCAGACATGTAATAGATAGACTGTCCCTGCCCCTATAAATAATCATCCCTCACGTGTGAGAACACTTTATGCTTTCTCAGCACAGCCACTTCTACAAGGTACTGCCACTTGTACTGTATCCAGTAAGTGACAGTACCTATCCCCTTTTGAAATCTGTGAAAGCTGAGGTGCAGGGATGTTAAGCAATCAGTTTGCGCAAGGTCACTCTGCTGGACCGCGGCAAGACTGGGTAACAGCCCAGGAACCTTGACTTCCAATCCTGGCTTCTTTCACCCATCAGAATGCCCCAAAGTTCAGTAGTTTGCATGCCACTTTCACAAAATTTGCCTTATTCAGTTACCCTCTGTACCATGATTTGCTTTTCTTGTTAATTTCATTGACTCCTGATATTTACTTAATTATGTGTATCTTACAAAGAAATTTTATATCACTATTATAGATAGAAAACCAGTATCACCCACTGTGATTAATTAACATAAGTCATCATATGAAAAATTTTGAAAGACCTAAAATCATTTTGTGGGTGTCTGGAGACCCATGTACTATATTTTGGGAAATGCTACATCAGAACATGTTACTCTTTTGTGCAGTTCTTTTTTTCTCTTTACTTCCCTCCTTCCCTCCCCTAATTTTTTCTCCCACTTCCTCATCTGTTTCCTTTTCTCTCCCACTCTCCCTCCCTCCCTCCCATTCATTAATTAAATAAACTACTGTTTATTGAGTACTTCCAACGTGCCAGGCATTGTGCTAGACGCTCAGTAAGCATTGAACATAAAGCCATCACCCTGCCTTGTGGAGCTCCCAATCCAGTGGGAGGTGAGCAATAAATAAAAAATACATCCATATGTACTAACAATTGGGAGAAGAGCAGCAAAGGAAGCAAATAGGGTGTTTCATTCCTACATTCATTTATTCAACAAACATTTATTGAGCATCTAGTATGTGCCAGGTGCTGGTGGTACAGTGAACAAAGTCTGTGCATACAGTCTCGCGACTGTGTATCACACTGAATAAAAATAAGTGCTGAAAAGACACAAAGGAGGGTAAGGAGACAAACAGGAAAAGAATGTTATGGGGGGTGCTGTAGAGTCTGGAAGGGCCTGTCCCATAAGGTGACATTGGAGCAGAAACCTGATCTAAGGGGAGTTTCAGGCAGGTGGCTACCAGGGGAAAGGGCATGTGGACAGAAGGAACAGCAAGTTCTGGAAAAAGTTTGGTGCCATGGAGAAACTGAAAGAAGCTCAGGGGAGAGTGGGGTGAAAGGAGGTTGGAGGGACAGATGGGGTATGATTATACATGGCTCCTTTGCCATCATGAGAGGTTGGACTCAGTTCTTAGTGCAGGGGAAGCCCTTGGAGATACTCAGGCAGGGGAGTGACCTGCCTCATACACTTAGTACACTTAGAAGACAGCTGTGGCTACGGGGGAGAGCATGGCCTGGAGGGTGGGCCTCCCTCCAGCCTCCAGTGGCCTCTGCCTTTGTCTCCAGCCAGTGAGGAGGTCTTGGGGGTACTAGTCTTATTTGGGGGTACTAGTTTATGCTACTTTCCAAATTAAGTGTGTGTTCTGGCCTGGGCCTCTTGCTGCAAGCTTGGGTTCTGCTACTTGTGGAAGTGACTCCTGTTGCACTTTCTGCCTCTGTTTCCTTGTCCCCCATCCCTCCTTGGAGCCTCGAAGCCCCACTCACTGGCTCAACTGAGCCCCTCTATGTTAAGCCCTCTCCGTCCTTGCTCTCTGGGACTTGGCCTTGGTCTCTTCTGGCATTCGGGTGGCTTCTTCTCCAACTCTTTTGCTGTCTCTCTTCCTGCCCCCCAAATGTGGACATTTTCAAGTGTTGGCTCAACAGCACTTTCTCAACAAGGCTTACTCTGTCCTGCCCCACCCTCTTTAAAAGTTAAAACTTCCTTATCCTGCTCAACTGATCCCTGGTAGCATTTTCTACTTTCTTTCTTTTTTTTTTAACTTTATTTTATCAGTATACAATATAGTTGATTTTCGTGTCCCTTTACCAATTCCTCCCTCTCCCTCCTCCCTCTGCCCCCTCCCACCCATCAACATCATATCTGTTCACTTGTCTTAACAAATTCATGGAATTGTGATTGTTATGTCTTCTTCCCCACCCCCCCATTTGTTTTTGTATTTATTTATTTATTTTCAGCTACCACAAATAAGTGAGGACATGTGGTATTTCTCTTTCTGTGCCTGACTTATTTCACTTAATATAATTTCCTCTAAGTCCATCCATGTTGCTGTGAATGGTAGTATTTCATTCTTTTTTATAGCAGAGTAGTATTCTGCTGTGTAGATATACCACAGTTTCCTTATTCACTCATCTGATGATGGACATTTGGGCTGGTTCCAACTCTTGGCTATTGTAAATAGTGCTGCAATAAACATTGGAAAACAGGTATCCCTTTGACATGATGATTTCCATTCCTCTGGGTATATTCCCAGCAGTGGGATAGCTGGGTCATATGGTAGATCTATCTGTAATTGTTTGAGGAACCTCCATACCATTTTCCATAAAGGCTGCACCATTCTGCATTCCCATCAACAGTGTAGGAGGGTTCCTTTTTCTCCACAACCTCTCCAGCACTTATCATTCTCAGTCTTTTGGATATTAGCCATCCTGACTGGAGTTAGATGGTATCTCACTGTGGTTTTTATTTGCATTTCCCGAATGCTGAGTGATGTTGAGCATTTTTTCATATGTCTGTTGGCCATTCATATATCTTCCTTTGAGAAATGGCTATTCAGCTCCTTTGCCCCTTTTTTAATTGGGTTATTTGTTTTTTTGCTGTAAAGTTGTTTGAGTTCCTTGTATATTCTGGATATTAATTCTTTGTCAGATGTATATTTTGCAAGTATTTTCTCCTACTCTGTTGATTGTCCTTTAACTCTGTTAATTGTTTTCCTTGCTGTGCAGAAGCTTTTTAGTTTGATATAATCACATTTGTTTATTTTTCCTTTGGTTGCCTGTGCTTTTGGGTCATATTCATGAAGTCTGTACCCAATCCTACTTCCTGGAGTGTTTCCCCTATGTTTTCTTTTAGGAGTTTTATTGTTTCAGGGTGTATATTTAATTCTGCAATCCATTTTGAGTTGATTTTGGTATATGGTGAAAGGTATAGATCTAGTTTCATCCAGTTTTCCCAGCACCATTTGCTGAAGAGGCAGTCTCTTCCCCAGTGTGTAGACGTGATGTCTTTGTCAAAGATCAGATGGCTGTAGGTGTATGGGTTGATTTCTGGATTCTCTATTATATTCCATTGATCCGTGTGTCTGTTTTTATGCCAGTACCATGCTATTTTGGTTATTATTGCTTTGTAGTATAGTTTAAAGTCAGGTAGTGTTGTGCCTCCAGCTTTTTTTTTTTTCCCCAGATTTTTTTTGCTCAGAATTGCTTTGGCTATGCGTGGTCTTCTGTTATTCCATATAAATGTTAGGATAGTTTTTTCCATTTCAGAGAAAAATGTCATTGGAATTTTGATGGGGATTGAATTGAATTTGTAGATCATTTTGGGTAGTATGGACATTTTTACAATGTTAATTCTTCCAATCCAAGAGCATGGGATATCTTTCCATCTTCTTGTGTCCTCTTTAATTTCTCTCAACAGTGGTTTGTAGTTTTCTTTGTAGAGATTTTTCACATCCTTGGTTAACTTTATTCCTAAGTATTTTATTTTTTTGGTGGCTAGTGTAAATGGGCTAGCTTTCTTGACTTCTTTTTCTGCATGTTCACTGTTGGAGTATAGAAATGCTACCAATTTTTTTTGTGTTGATTTTGTATCCTGCAACTTTGCTGATATCATATATCAACTCTAAGGGGTTTTTTGTAGAGGCTTTAGGCTATTTGATATATAGGATCATGTCATCTGCAAACAGGGACAGTTTGACTTCA